ACTCGCCTTCGGACGTGCACAAGATCGGAACTATGGGATAGTGGTACTAGAGTGCCGTCTAGATACTCAGCGGTGGAGATTAACCAGAAGTGATAGGGCGCTGTCATGCTGTGCTTTTGGCTATAGGCGAGAAGTTGGTGTGCAGCAGCGCCGGCGAGGTCGTAAGGCGGCACCAATGTACCCCATCCTCGGACCCCGTTCCCATGCACTTTCGTGCAAAAAATGTGGCGCGCAACTGTAGCTGCGAACACATTTTTCCCCACACACGACAAGGACCAGAATCCCCGAAGGTGAGCTTGTCCTCAACAACTGAAACTCCAAAAACAGCACGGAGTTATAAGTTGCAGTTGTATACTTCCCTTCCATTGCTTCATGTATTGAATTGCCCTCTGGATCAGTTCAATTATCTTCCTATTCTTTTTCACCCGAAGTTGGGCTGGTTTTTACATCGAACTCCGGACTTTCATTTTGCAAAGGATATCCTTGAGTGCACCTGCAAGAAACATACGAGCTTTTTGAGAGTTTATGTAGATAATCCTGTATGTTCTAGGAAAAACGAGAACGTATCCGAAAAGAAGCCGAAGCGGAATCAGAAAGGCAACGACTCGAATGGGAGAAACAAAGTAAGCGGAAAGGTTTTTCTATACTTTCCTGTGTCTTATTTGTAGTTATATGCGTAGGAAGACAGTGAAAACGAGGAAGATATAATTTCCTTGCGAGTGCTTTTAGCAGTACTTTTTCTGTAATTTATTTGGTGCCAAAGTAGCTAGTTTGTCCAAATACGTCAGAAGAACAGCGAAGTTCAAATACCATTATCGAACAAAAGTAGCCAAATGTATCATGTAAAGCACTATGTTGGTCTAATTGAATGGTCATTTTTTTGTAAGTAATGGCGATAGTATATCGATTCACTTTTTAATCTCCGACTATTAAATGAAAGTATTCTGTTTAAAAATATCTCCTTTCCCCTAAATATCACTCGCTCGCTGTGATGCGTTCTAGGTATTAGGCGTATAATTTTCAGATCAGCGTGCTCGTGAAGCAGAAGAAGCTATGCGTAAAATGGCTCAAAAAGCGCGGGAGCAGCACAGACAGTTGATCAGAACGTCGACAAGTATTTTACCAGCTCTCAACGACACGCACGCAAA